GATGATAATCCGTTCCACTGAAATCGCTGTTTAGCGAAATCATTGTCTAGCGAAAAGCATTTCCCCATTGGAATGCATTGAAACTGTTTAATGCGTTCCAATGGGGAAGAATCGTCTTTGTCTAGCGAAGATCGGCCATAGGAAAGACGATCAGCTGTTTAAATTGCTGTCTTGCGAAGCTTAGGTCCCGAAAATACCTGTTTGCAAGCGTGGAGATAGCTGTCACAATCGTCGTCTAATGACAATCGGTTTGCAAAGCAGGGACCAAACATTGTCCAGCGAAATTCCCCCATAGGAATCACTGTTTTGCGAATCACTATACCGATCGCAAAAAGCCAATGTCTAGCGAAAAAACTGTCATGCGGTAACTGTCTAGCAAGGCACCGCTGTACAAGTTTCATTGGCTAATGTTCAGCTGTGGCCCTCAGAGCCTTCTGTGCTACAGTCCCCATTTACCCTAACCAATATAGCCATTTGGAGAGGCTTGACCGTTTCATTGGCTAATGTTCAGCTGTGGCCGTTCAGAGCCTTCTGTGCTACAGTCCCCATTTACCCTAACCAATATAGCCATTTGGAGAGGCTTGACAAAGTTGCATGCTAAGAGCATCTTAGCATCTGTGGTGGGCCACAGTTATGGTATTCCTGACTTAAAGTGGCTATTGCACTATGAATGAAGATGAAGCATGGAAATAATTTCCATATAGGAAATTATGTGGCAAATTATTATCTGTTGTAAGTCTCTCATCTTCCATTTCCTGCCCAGGACAATTTTTGCTCAAGCCTTCCATCTCAGTGAGCCCCAGTGTGGTGGTACCTGTGGGAGAAAATGCCACCATCCGATGTAAAAGTGAAGGAAGATACCTACCAGTGGCATTCATTCTATTTAAAGAAGAGTCAGGATCCTGGCAATCTGTGAGCACCAAGGAGATAGAGGAGGGTGAGGCTGTATTTCACATTATCCATGCTAAGCCATCTGATGCTGGGACCTACTGGTGTAGCTTCGGGTCAGAATATTTTCCATGGCATAGGCGATATTCCAGTGACAAAGTACACATCAAGACAAAAGGTGAGCGTGTGGCTCAGTTTTTATATGCCAATATCCTAAATATCAGTAAGATGTATTTTGTAATTACGCATAGCTGTAATGCAATTGGGAAATGTGTGTTAACTGAAATGTGTTTTCAAGGTATCGCTTACTTTAAGTCACTTATTAATATTATTGGCAACATTAATCAGAAATTCATTCTAGAACCAAAGGCCTATTTTATGGCTGTCTTCATGTTCCTGCCCCCCAGTCCTATTGTCCTGACTCCCCAAACATTCATGAAGATGGAAGCAAGTGAGTAACCAACTTTGGGGACCGAGTGACCACGTACAGGAGAGCCTAGAACAGCCATTCTGAACCTATTTTGGGGGTATGGCTCTTTTTGAATTCCTCTCATGTCCTAGGACACCTTGTCAAAAAGGATAGAAGAAGAAGAACAGATATTTTTCTGAAACTTTTTTTTCCAGTCTGTGACCCCTTCGAATTTGCCAGAGTCCCCCCAGGGTCCCCCAATTCTAGGCCAGCCATTCTCCTGTTGAAAATGGCTGGCCTGGAATTCAACAGCTAGCATGGATGTTTCACTTTTGGCCCATTTTAATGCACTGCCATTTGGCTGTGTGCATTCTGTGCTCTCATGTTGGAACCGACATAGCGACCCTAATAGGACTTTCAAGGTAAGTTAAATATTTAAGGAGTGGTTTTACCCGTTCTGCTCTGGCACTTAGTTACCATGGCAAAGGGGGATTCAAACTCTGTTCTCCAGAGTCCTAGTCCATCACTCTATCCACTACACCACACTGGGAGTCCATCTAAGTTACCATCTTTTAATATTTTGTCTTTTTAATGCATTATGTGATGTAAATATATCAATAATGAGAGAGAGAAAGAGTAAAATATGCTAATTAAAATGTGCCACCCAGACTAACATCCTAACGAATTTTTTTAAGTTATAAAGATCCTGTTGATATTTACAGATTGATCCTGGCCTCCTGTGAACAGAGCAGGGGTGAATCCCCATCTGAAATGTCATGGGAAGGTGCCAGAACACTCAGCCCATGTGTTACCCCTGCCTATTCATCCAAACATGTTCTTGGGCATCCCACCTAGAGAGCGCCAATAGCATGCTATTGTACAGAGGCAGACTGTCCCAGGGAGGTCACTATTGAAATCTCTCTCTTTTTATTTCTCCTACAGAAGTAGTTTATTCTAAACCATTCATCTCATTGAACCCAATGGGGTTAGTTCCTTTGGGTGCAGTTGTGACCGTCCAGTGCAAGAATACAGAGTACCGACTGGCAGAATATTATCTCTTGAAAGAAGGGAGCCCTGAACCAACACAAGTAAAAAGATCAGACGGGAAAGAAGTTGTATTTTCCATTGCCAATGTCACTTTATCGGATGGAGGGATCTACTGGTGTGAATACAGAGACAGCTCAAGCCGGAGTGACCGATACTCACACGCCAGTGACCGACTGTATCTCAATGTGACAGGTGAGATTGAATTTCTGTATGCTTTTCTCACAAAGTATTTTTTAATAGCTTTTCTGTATTCAGTATCACAAATACTCATTGGACTAATATATACATGCAGTTTCGAAGAGGCTCTTATAAACTTTTATATAATGTTTGAATAGTATAAGCAATATTTAGAAACTGCATTCCAAATAAAATAAAATGAGATTAAAAACTTGATCTGTAGCTGGATCTACCAAGAGATGTGTTCAGATAGTAAAGTTATGTGACTTTAGCATTTCATTGCATTCTTTTCCCACCTCCAGATCCCAGTCTTGCCAAACCACTCATCCAGATGGAACCGAAGGGCCCCCATGTTCTGGGTGCGAATGTCACCATCCATTGTCAGGGGCCAGAAAAGGGTCTGACCTTCCTCCTCTACAGATCAATGGACTTGGCAGCCTCACAGATAGCACAGCCAGACAGCAACACAACTACTTTCTCCATCCTCACAGTCAGGGCAGAAGATGTCGGGAACTATACTTGCCAATATCATGGCAAAGGAAACCCCTTTGTGTGGTCCGAGCCAACTGTGCCTATGAAGCTGGTTGCGAAAGGTAAAGCACTTGATTGGATGTTTTCCCAGTTACCAACTCTGTGCCTATGAAGCTGGTTGCAAAAGGTAAAGCGCTTGATTGGATGTTTTCCCAGTTACCAACTTCCAAGTCTGTGTCCTCAATCATAAAGCAATTGTTTGGAAGAGATGTGCATGATCATAGAGCAATTGTTTGGAAGAGATGTGCAGAACCTTTCCTGCCCTCCCCCTGGTCAATCATTACTCTGTTGTGGGCTCTGCACCCGTGCTGACAAGGCAGGTGCCAAAGGTGTCTAGAATGAAAACTGGTCAAGATTCTCAATTTGCAAGGATGCAGGTGTGATCAGATGAAAAAACAGGATCATCATGACTGGTCACGTGGACAATTGTGAAGTCAACTTAGCTAGGACTGATCTTATTTAAAACAACCTGTGTTGGAATTAATCCAGCCTGCTCTCCCCAAAGGAACAGCCCTGGTGCTGGACCCAGAAAGGTCCATCTTGGTCATGGACCCGGGTGAGGCTGGACTGCTGTTGCCCATAAGTCCCGTAATCACCAGAACATAGATCACAAAAGACAAGGGGTCCAAAATGACAGCTATTTCCTTTTCTGATTGCATCCTCAGTTATCCCTTTGTGCCCTCCTCTCTCTTTTCCCTTTCTCTGCTACCCCCTCTGCAGGTACTTTCCTCTTTCTCACCATCTCTCTCTCCTTCCCTCCAATCTCCAAATTCAATCCCACCTTTCCCTTAGTTAGAAGCAGAGAAATGTGCAACTATTTTGCCTCTCTCTCCAGTCTCCAAATTCAATTCCACCTCTCCCTTAGAAGCAGAGAAATGTGCAACTATTTTGCATGCAAACTGTTGTGCCTTCCAGGGGGCAGCAGAGACAGAGATACAGTAGTCAGCTGAGGTTCTTTATTATGTATGTAACATCTTTTCTGTTGTCCCCTAATGTCTGATTGCAAAATCAGACAGAAAGAGAGAGAAATTCCCCTTGTACATTGAGAAGTTGGAAGATGTAGGGATTTAAACGACACATGTTATTCACAAAAGAAACCCCTTTGTATGGTCCAAGCCCTGTGGAATCGTCTCTAGCCGGTGAGGAGGAGCCTGGCGTGGCACAGTTGAACGCAGCACCTGTTCTGTTCTACCTCTTGCATATAATAAGGAGAAGTTAGAGACAGTGTCTACTCACCGGACACAACCCAAATAAATTGAAGGGAAGGTACAGTGTTGTCTATTCTGGTGAAAATGGAAATCAGATTCCTAAGGAATCAAAGCTCAAAACAGACAAGAAGATTTCAGAGAACTTCTTAAGATTGAAAAATGAACTTGCAGGTGCCATGTGAGGTGGTGGACATGTATGCCGTTATTCACCATAATGCAGGGAGCTATAATATATTGCTGACTGACAGAGAAAGTTGCTCGAGATTTGTTACCTATCAAAGTAATGCCCAAATCTGTGTTTATTTATTTGATGTCTCATGGTCTTGATAAAATAATACTCAAATGGGATGTGTTGCAAAAGTACTGAGATATTTCAAAGAAGGAGCAGATAGAATAAGTGTTGCTAAATACAGAGGATTGAGCCTAAATGACTCCCCAAATGTCCCCATCCCGTTTGCTGGCAGAAAAATTGAGGTTTGTCCATTTTGGAAACTTTTTGCTGGGGGCGGAGGGACAGACAAAAACATCTGAGTGAACACTTATGTAGTTTCCCAAAGACCTGGCAGGTTGAGGTGACCATTTAATTTTTAGCCTAGATATCCTCTTCTAGAGCAGTATTTCCCAATCGGGAAGGGGGTTGTGACCCACAAGGCGATTGCAATGTGTTTTCTGGGTGGGGAGTGTCACGGGTTGCCATACATGTGTTGTAGCCCTTGTTAAATAATTTCTTATGGGTGCAAGGACAGCTTCATGCCAGTTTCTGGGAGAGATCCTCTCTGTGTGCATGTTTCGCGCGCCCCCCCCCCCGGGTACCGTGAGGTCCTTCTGCCCTCTGGCTCATCTTTGAAGCCCTTTGCCTTCTCTTCTCCAGGAGAGAGCCTCTCCATGTGCCAATTTTGCCCCCTCCCTGGGTACCGTGAGGTCCTTCTGCTCTCTGGCCCATCTTTGAAGCCCTTTGCCTTCTCCCTACCTTGTACCTCCCCAAGGATGTTTCCTCCCTAGTTTTGCAGTGGTCGTGGTGGAGCAAGCAATAGCAGCCCCATGTTAGGGAAGGACAACGGCTGCCTTTTTACACAAATATGGTGGCGTAGGATCGCAGGTTACTTGGCTTTTATAAAAGGAGGTCATAACATGACAAAAGTTGGGAACCACTTCTCTGGAGGGATACCTGGAAGCATTGCCCTCACTGACTTGGTTCAAAAAGAATCTACATGATTATGAAACTTGGTTCCGAAACTAGCTTGGATAGTGAGGGTAGTGATTTCCGCCTCCACTCCAGGAGAGCAATGGGGCAACTTTTTTCTCCCTATTTTCCAGCAAGAGTTAGTCTACAAAAAACTTTGAGTTCATCTTAATAGACCTTCTCTGTGTGTACAAAACTGCATGATCTGTTAGTCACAATCTCAACTTTTTTCCCCCTTTGCAGATGACAGCCAAGTAAATCACGCCTCTCTGTACTTTGCATCCCTGGAGATCTGGATTCGTCTTGGGGTAGGCATCGTGGTCCTCCTTGCCCTGATGCTGATTCTGGCTGAGGCCATATACAGCTGGAGGACTGAGCAGCATTTCAAGAAAACTGTATTCACTGAATCACCTCGACCTAGAAATGGCTTCCTTTGATAATACAGTACTGCAAGCTGGATCTCAAGAACAAGTTTACCTTGCCTTCAGTCGCGAGCTTTTTGGTTTTCTTTCAAGGTCAGGACCTTTTTTAAAAATCTGTAGCAAAATGCAGACATTGTGTGTGGACTATGTGTTTCCTGAACACTACTTCACCTTTGGAGCCATACTTGGCCATACTAAGATCTCCTTGAACCATCTTTACGGTGTTGTTGCCACCAGTGTGCGCTCGATGTTACCCTTCCCTGTTGTCAAGAGTCCTGCTCAGCTCTTGAAAATTCTATGTTGTGACTTCCGTTATGGAGCCAATCCTTCTCTGGAAACTTTACGTTACGACTTCCGTTATGGAGCCAATCCTTCTCTGTTTTGGTCTTCCTCTTTTTCAATAAACTCTGTCTCATTTTCACTTTCATTTCTGGCTTAATCTGAACTCTGTCTCATCATGTACAAAAGCCTTAGCTTCATCATTTTCACTTTCATTTCTGGCTTAATCTGGAACCCACTTATTTGTCTCTCTGGTGGTCTGTGGCATCCATGAAGCTCTCCTCCAACACCACATTTCAAACGTATCAATTTTTTCTTGTCCCCTTTCTTCACTGTCCAGCTTATGCCTCTATGCATAGTAATCAAGAATACCACTGTGTAGATTATCTTCACCTTGGCCTCTCAATTTTTTGTCCCCTTTCTTCACTGTCCAGCTTACGCCTCTATGCATAGTAATCAAGAATATCACTGTGTAGATTATCTTCACCTTGGCCTCCAGTGACACATCCTTGCATGTGAGGATCTTTTGTACTTCTGACAGCACAGAAAGTACAGCACATTATTGTATGTACAGTACTTACTTAGCACAAGCATCAGGCTGATGCACCCAAGACAAATTGCATAAAATATGCAGGAGCATTTTTAAATCCACCAGAGCTGACATTGTGGAGGATAGGCATAAAATAATGTGCTCTACAGAGAGTTATATTAGCATCTTTTTCTTACTACCTCTGATGCCTCTAGCTAAGAAGGCTGTGTTTTGGTGTGACCTCCTCCTCCTATAGTCAAAAAGGAAACTCAAATTCCAAAGCAGGCAATATGCATGGGTGCGAGGGACTATCTTCTAACCATGGAGACTGAATGGAAAATTCCAACCTTATGGCTCAAGAGTAAGATATTTAAAAACATCTCCCCTCCAAGCTAGTTGAAACCAGCTCTCAGCTTACCTCAAGCAATTTCCTGACAGACTTTTGCAATGACCTTTTTGGGACATTCATTTATAATTTTCTTCTCCTATGCCTGATGAAGTGAATTTGATTCACAAAAGCTTGAGCAGAATGTATGATTTTTAGTGGTCTAAATAAAGGTATCACCTCTTTTGTAAGTAAATAAATGTTTTATTCTTCATTCTTCAAATGCCTCAGAATAAGGTATTGAGACTGTAAGTGCCATTTGATGACAAAAAGGGTCAGGCCACTCAGGGGAGCTTGAAGCTATTCTGCTCTGTGAATCCTTACACTTCTGCTGTGCAGGTAGAGGAAATTAAACAGAAATTCAAAACTACATAACATTATTTGATGCGTCTCAAACTCTTACTTGCTCCATTAGACAAACACCATCAAGCCCTCCATATTAAACAAGTTAACAATACTTGAATTAGATTTTGTGGGTTCCCTTTCCTCCAAAAAAACAGAATTCCAACACTTCTCAAAAAATATTCTATTAATAGTCCTTCTCCTCTCACTTAAGAAGTCGTTTTTCCCAGGGACAAATTACTCAAAATTTAAAACAGTTAAAAGGATTCAACTGTGGTTACTTCTATTCCCCACAGTGCTCTGTTTGCAATGGTAGCAACCTAAATGGGACAATGCACTAATTAATACATGGATTATGCAAATCGGTGCATTTTCTCTACATTATACAAATTACGCAATTTAATTGTTGCATCATTTTGCTTCTTGCGTGTTTCATCTTTGACATCATTTGTACAGTAACCAGTGATCTTAGGGAGACAGTATGCTGTAATGGTTGGACATTGGCTTAGATAGGGAGACTCAGGTTAAAATCCCAGTTTAGTCACACTGTTTATCTGATGTCTCTAGGTCAACCTCTCAACATAACCAGTTGGCATATCTAAATTATGGTCAAAACCCAGCTAACTGAGTAATATGTATAACCTTACTTCTAACCTGTAAGGTACAGGAACCGAGGAGAGTCACAATGGGAAGAAGACTGATATGATATGAGGATTTGGGGACCTGACAGCTGGGTCAAGGCAAGCTATGCACCGGGAGCCTTCTGGACCTGTTAGGAATGTGCAGTGCTTCATGGTGACTGGAGGACTGAAGTATCGCTAAACAGCAAGTTGGGAGAGGAACAGAGGAGAGTCAGGGTGGGAAGAAGACTCTATCTCAATGATATGAGGATTTGGGGACTGGACAGCTGGGTCAAGGCAAGCTATGCACAGGGAGCCTTCTGGACCTGTTAGGAATGTCCAGTGCTTCATGGTGACTGGAGCACTGAAGTATCGCTAAACAGCAAGTTGGGAGTTTAGATGCTGCAACTTGTCTGTGTAACCTCTGGGTCTTGTGTTCAACTTGCCAGGTCAACAGGAGCTTGATATCCTCCCAGCCAAGAACAGGAGGTTAAGCTCCCTCCCAGCGGTGGAAGGACACTATTTAGTGAGGAAGCAAGCAAATGGCAGGCCACAGAGCTGAAGTATCGCTCCCAGCCAAGAACAGGAGGTTAAGCTCCCTCCCAGCGGTGGAAGGACACTATTTAGTGAGGAAGCAAGCAAATGGCAGGCCACAGAGTTTTCCTCTACTGAGCCTGGTGTACATATCTCAGTGTCTTTTTCTCACAGACAGATCCCCTGCATTGTCATCATGTATGTATAAACTCTTCATCTTTTAAATTTTATAAAACTAAGACTTGCCCCATGGTACAATGTTTAAACTGCAGTACTTCAATCAAGCCTCTCTCACGATCTGAGTTTCATCATAACAGGTTCAGGTAGCCAGCTCAAGGTTGACTTAGCCTTTTATCTTTCCGAGGCCAGTAGAATCTCACGATCTGAGTTTGATCGTAACACGTTCAGGCAGCCAGCTCAAGGTTGACGTAGCCTTCTATCCTTCTGAGGCCAGTAAAACGAGTACCCAGCTTGCTATGGGGCAAGTTGTTTTATCTTTCCGAGGCCAGTAGAATAAGTACCCAGCTTGCTATGGGGCAAGTTGTTCTTTACATAATTATGTTGTAAAGCATGTGTTCTAGTACAATGGGGTGGTTGTCGCGATACCCATGTTCCCCCCTGTTTATTATTCCCTCACAAAGGCGCATGTCGCATTCTCTTTTCGCTGGCACCAGTGGATTAGGATTACTGCAATTCACTATAGAATGACGTCTGTCAGAACACGTGTCTTGTGAACAGAAACAGAACTTATTTATTGAAGTGAAGTATTGTGAGTAATAACAGACGTTTTTCAGATATTCAGTGTACATAAGCAATGCATCAACAGTTCCCTCAGTACATAGTTCTTTTTGCTTGCAATTTCATTACCACCCTCTCTACCTATTTTCCTAACCAGCCCTTTCTCTCTGAATGACTAACTCTATCTGACTAATCCTATCTATCCAACTAACCAGCCCTATCTGACTCCTCCTTCTCCCGCCAAGCCTCATGTACCTACTGACTCCGCCTCTCCAGCCCTCTCATAGGTTCATGCAAATCAGCTCATGAATCTGAATGACATGAGTGATGTGGGCGGTCGCCACAGTGGTATATAAGTTGAAACAGCAACTAGTCAAGACTGTGCAATTGTTCTTATTGTTTAGCTTGAACTCTGAAGATCCAAAGGTGCCTGCTTGGTCGCCACAGTGGTAAATAAGTTGAAACAGCAACTAGTCATGACTGTGCAATTGTTCTTATTGTTTAGTTTGAACTCTGAAGATCCAAAGGTGCCTGCTCGGATCTAATCCCTTCCTGGTCTGTGTCTGTCTGTTGGGTGTAGCAGCAAAGGGGATGTGGTTTGTCAGATGACATGCAATGGAGACAAGACTGTTGTGAAACCTTAGGGACACTGTATGAAACTGAGAAGCCCTTGGTTGAGTAACCACACTTGTTTAGAGGCTGGAGCCCTTGGTGAACAGCTTTGCAGACCTTCAGAACTAAGAAAAAGATGATGCTGAACTACAAGGCTGAGTGGCCCCTTCACGTGAGATGGCCTTTCCGTGCCCTCTTCCTTGGTTGGTACCTTCTATGGAAGGGTAACAGGAGCAGATATGTGCCTTGGCAGGGTGGAGGATTGCATGTTGCTCTCCCACCACCATCTTCATGGTTCCACTAATGAGATCCTCTCCTTTTCAGGCTGGTGGCTGACGGAGCTGTTTGGGTTGTCTGGAGGTGAGTGATTCATATTGTTATGCTTACTGATTTCTTCAGGTAGAGAGCTTTTGCTTTTCTTTGTAGGAAGAGATTATAGGATGTGTAAGTTGTGTTTGCAACATCTGGTTCTTTGACAAATGCACAGTTAAACATAGCGGGGCCATATCTTGTCTATCTAACAGACAGTGAGATCGCCACTGAGCAACACCTGCTCTACGACCTTGCAAAAGTTTCTTTTCTTCCCCATATTATTTATTATTATTTATTTATTTATTCGGCTTTTACTGGACCCATCTAGATTCAATCGAATATACTCTGGGTGGCTTACAGACTGAGCAATATAAAACAAGAATTACAACATACAATATTCAAACAAAAAAGAGAAGTAAGCAAAGTCCAGGATGGGAAATGTGTGATGGAAGGGGGGAAAGCCTGCCTGAAGAACCAAGCCTTCAGATTGTTCTTAAAAACTCCCAACGAGGGTGCCAGGTAAATCTCCAGGGGCAAGATGTTCCAAAAGCGAGGAGCCACCACCGAGAAGGCCCAGTTTCTAGCTCTCTCCTTCCGGGCCTCTCTCAGGGTCAAGCCCCTCAGCTGCCCAGCCTGGCTAAATGGAGTGACATGAGTAGAGCCAAGTGGGAGCAGGCACTCTGCCAGGTATTGAGGTCCTAAACCGTTTAGGGCTTTATATAAAAGCATTGATACCTTGAAGTCAATGCGGAAATGAATGGGCAACTAGTGTAAGGCCGCCAGAGTGGGGAAATTTGATGATATTTTTTCACCCCAGTTAATAGTCTGGTGACCATGCTCTGGATCATTTGTAGTTTCTGCATCAATCTCATGGGCAGCCCTATGTAGAGTGCATTACAGTAGTCTAATCTCGGGACTATGAGTGCATGGACCAGAGTGGTCAAGATAGGAGCATAGCTGGGCAATCTGCCGAAGATGTAGATGGCTGGTACAGACCACAGATGCTACCTGGGACTCTATGGTAAGCGCTGGGTCAAGATAGACCCCCAAGCTGTGTACCATACTCTTTGTGCTGAAAGTGCCCCCCCCAAAAGAGAGAGAACTTCCCAAACCACTGATAGGAGGGGTGCCCATCCTCAAGACCTCCGTCTTGTCTGGGTTCAGCCTCAGTCCATTCTCTTGCATCCATTGCAGTACAGCCCCCAGTAAGTGCTCAAGGGACACAACGACATCCACTGCTATTGGAAAAAAAGGAGATGCAGCGCTGTGTGTCATCAGCATACTATGAATAGACTGGGAATATATTGGGGGCACAGAGTTTTCCTCTCCTGAGGCAGACCATTGATCTATACAGTGGTGCCTTGCTTAACTAGCGCCTCGCTGAGCAATGAAATCGCTTAACGAGGGGCTCTGGGCCATCGCTGGAGCATTCGCTCAGCGATGGCCCCTATGGCGTTTTTTCGCTTTGCGATATTCGCTAAGCGATTTGCTTAGTGAATATCGCATAACGAAGCGGGGAGAACAGCTGATCGGCGGTTCCAAAATGGCTGCCGGAAGGTCCGCGCCGCATTTTCGCGCCCTGCCCTCGCTTACCGAGGGCGCCAAGATGGCGGCGCTATGGAGGAACATCGCTTAACGGTGAGTTTTAAAGCCATAGGAACGGTGAGTTTTAAAGCCATAGGCTATGCGAGGCACCACTGTACTGTATATCTCAGTGTAAAATCCTTATATTTGATGATGAACCTGGTAGTTTCCCAGATCAATAAACCATCGCCCTTGATTTATCCAGTTACTAGAAATGCGTAGCATGCTTTGGGTCGTCTGCAGCCAACAAGACCTCCCTCCCGTTATCTCCTTGGCTCACACCTCCAGCTGTTGCCTTTTCCTGAGAAGCAGCTTGCAAAGTCTGTGCTCTCCTATCAGGCAATGCCAAGTTGCTTTTAAAATAGCTTTCCAGAGATGTCAGTGAGGGGAGAGCTTCTATAATCTTCTGGCCGAGAACATCAAAAGCATGCCTTAATGAATCAAGGTTACGGGAGGCAAAGGTAAGCTGTTGGGCAACATTTTTAACCATCTCAGCTGTAAGGAGGGAATATTCTGATATTATGTCCAGGGGCAATTCCTTTTTGATAGCTCTGATTAGCTTCTACTTTGTTGGGGGGCTTTTCTGGCTGGATTATATGGTGTCAGTTCGGGGCTTGCAGAATGATGAAGATTCATTGTTTAAAGGGGAATTTGTATCTGCTGAACCTTGGTTTTCTGATTCCGGGAGCCTCATATTTATTTGAGCATGGAACAGCAGAAGCACCACTCGCTGAGTCCTTTTGAGAGCGGTTGTCCATCCATAATTGTTTGACAGGATTTGGTGGGGAAATGGAGCTGGGTTTTGTTCTTGAAGTGTCTCTAAAACATCAGGTTGGCAGGGCAAAGCAGAGTAATGGAGCAGCTGAATATAGATATTATTCAAAGATTATATGCTATTGCTGTCCAGACTACCATGGCATTTGTAGTTAGTTGCCACTCTAGAGCTGAACACGACTGGACAAAAATTGTCAAGGGGAACCTTTACCTTTACCTAGTAGGATACGTAAAGGCTTTTCCTTGCCTTTTGGAAAGCTACCACCCTATTTGTCCCTTATTAACTCACACGAATTGAGACAACGGTTAACTAAGTGAAGATTGAACTCATTATAGTTGAAAGAGAATCAGGGATCTTACATGGGCCAACATGGTACAGGCAGACACTGCCCAGCACAAGGCTCTAAAATGGAGGACCTGGTATATTTCCTAACAGAATGTCCTCTGTATGCAGATTTGAAGGATCAATATCTTAAACTCTTACCAAACGGAATCAAGAACAATTCCCCTTTATGCAAGGCATTATTCCTGCTGGCTGGCATAGACTACTGTATATCTTATAGGACCACTAAATTAGGTAAATGATCCATGGAAAGACAGAACTCACTGCCTGCTTCACATGTTCTTCAAGTCTGTGTCACTGAAACATTGCCCTAGACTTCTGTGAATGAGGCAGGACAGTTACAAGATATAACTCAACTTCGGAATTAGTCACAGTTTACCTTTGTTGCTGCTCCACCTTCCAAATCTCACTCTCTTTGATCTTTTTCTCACCAGGACAAAGTTACCCGAGACCTTCCATCTCTGTGAACACCACTACGATGGTCCCTCTGGGGGGAAATGTCACCATCCATTGCAGCTGTGGAATCCCTTCAGATGTCTCCTGGTATCTCGCCAAACATGAGAGTGAATTTGCTATTAATGCACAACTGAAAAAAGAACAGTCCTGTGAGGTGGTATTTTCCATGAGCAATGCTCAGCTTTCAGATGTGGTGATGTACTCATGCAAGTATTGTGTCTGGATCTTATGCTCAGATTTTAGTAATAAAGTCTCCATCAATATAACAGGTGAGAACCTAAGTCAGTACTTGTATGTTGTTTTGCCAGAAGGCACTAAAAGGCCTTTTCCCCACAGAATGAACCAAACAAGAAGGTTGTATTGACTAAGCTGTGCATCTGTGTTCAAAACCAGCTCTTCCTGCCTCGTTTCATACTTGAACATCATTAGGAGGATGCACAAGTGATACATTCCCAATGAAGATACGTTACTTCCTCTCTCCCTTTTAAACCAAACTGTTTCTATGAATCTTCAACAGAAAACAACGTACGGTGTGATCACAGAACGGGAAAGGTGCCCGTGAGATGCCACCGGAAAGAGCCCCTTGATGGGGAGCGATCTCCCTTGAAGCAATCCTTCCATCTGTTGGGGATCAGCTCTAGTCTGGGGAAAAAATAGTAGTAGCCTTACAGCTGGCCTAGATTGGGGCCGGGCTGAAGTACAATTTTCCCTGTACATTATTGCCGGGAAAGAGATGGCATCAGAGGACTCCAGCAGCATTCCAAATGGCAAACTGTTTCTGTGTGTGATCGCACCACTAGTATGCTAGCATAAAAACACAGAGTGTTTTACCTCAGGACTCATCCTCACAAAGTGTTTGGCTTGGATTGATGTGGGTTGGAATTATGATCCCTTTCTCCATAGGTCTGGAATCACCAACTCCTTGCTTCCATGTCAGTTAGTCATCCTTGAGCGCAATCTACATTCTTGAGATTTCAGTTGGCACACCATCTTCCTCCTCTCATCTCTCCCTTTCCTTCCTTCTCATGCCCCTACCCCCATTCTGCTGGGAAGATTTTTGTATTGTATTTAAAGCCTGAAATTATTTCTATAAGCAATTCAGAAAATGAAAGCGAATATGAATAAAAATAATTAGAGGAAGAGATGAAATGGAAGACAAGTGTTTTGAGACGTGTGAGATTGAGTTGCACCAGCTACTCCAATAGTTTCAGATTTGACTCAGAACTTCCTTGAGGATTGCTCTTGTATTGTAAAAATACCGAAAATGAACCTTTGTGTGGAAAAAAGGGGGTGGGCCGGGAGATTGTTAGTGACTGTATCGAGCAGCAGACGTGTATGCAAGGCAACAAGAAGATTTACCAAATCCTTCCTCCCCATAGATCCCAGCCTGCCCCAACCCTCTATCCAGATGAACCTGAGAGGAAAGAACACTTCAGGTCTGAATGTCACCATAACGTGCCAAGGGCCCAAGAATGGTCTGATGTTTGCCTTATATAATTCAAGGGAGCAGATAGCATTTCAGGCTGCAGAGCCAAAGAAAAACACCGCCGTCTTCTCAGTCTCCCTGGTGAGATCAGAGGATGCAAGGAACTACAGGTGCCAATACCGTCAGAAGGGAGATGCGTTTGTCTGGTCAGAACCAAGTGACCCTACAGAGCTGGAGTTGGAGGTGGATGGTAAGGCACCAAACTCAACAGAATACTTTAAGATTTCCTAGAAGGAAGGATTCTCATGTAATAGTGGTGGTTTTTAAAGAGAGCATTCACTGGAACCTGTGGTGGGTCTCCTTGTGAGGGGTGTCAGAAGCGGTGGCTCAGAAAACCCAGAGTCTCACAGAAGCAGGATGAGCAGGGACAAAGAGGGATCCTTCTGAGGGTGCAAGCAGGGCAGAAGGCAGTGAATTTCTCCCTATATGGGCCTCTCCTTTTCCCCTACACAGCTATGGCTTTAATATTTCCGTTCATCATCTTTCTGAACTACCATGCAAACTCTCACCTTCATTCCTTAACACTTCTTGTAATTTCCATTTTGGACTGATTCTCTCACACACGGCCTCATAAGGATGTAAGAAATACTAAAATATTTTCTTGACCTTGAGGAAAAAGTGTGCCCGGACACATCAAGATGCTGCATTGAAAAATATGGTCCACTGCTGCAGGATTTTGCATTTCTACACAATAGTGAAAAGAAAGCTCTGGAACAACAAACAGACCAATGCCTCAAATATTCACACACAAAACTGTTTGGAGGAAAGCATTTGTATCTTGCACAAGAACTTGTATTTTGCATTTGAAAATGTTGCATTTTCTACAAAATACATGTATTGTGCAAAGTAAAAGTTTTCTGGAGTTTTTGCCAAAAAGTGCTGCAACATTAAAAAAATGCACAAAAACTCGTGTAGTTGATTAGTAGGCCCTGAACTGTTGAAATTATTCATCCTCAACTATATGAATGAAACAAGCAAAGATTTATACCATTAGTCTCCTGATCCTATTTCCATGAAGTATGTCTTTGTCTCCAAGGTTCCCTCTGTGGTATTCCATTTGGCAATCACTTTCTCTTTCTTACCTTTGCATTTATTTCCTCTTCTTTGCACGCTGATCTTATTCCTTCTGTGCCATGCGCTCCACTGATGCTGTAACTTTCTTTGAATTATTCTTCGATCTTCCATTTTCTATAACTTCTGTCTCTATATGCTTCAGACTCTATATGCTCCATGTTCAAATCATCCTCTGGCCTCAGAGCCCATTTGCTGCTAACTAAGTATGAACTACTCGCACTGGTTCTTAACCTTTGTTACTCAGATGTTTTTGGACTGCAACTCCCAGAAGCCTTCACTATTAGCTGTGCTGGCTGGGGTTTCTGGGAGTTGCGGTTCAAAAACACCTGAGTAACAAAGGTTAAGAACCACTGAACTACTGGAAAGGAAAGAAGTTATGTGTAGTCTTCAGTGTTTTTCCTTAAGTATAAAAATGAATTCATGCTAAGTGGACAATTAGTAGCAGTCTTCTCCTTTTTTTCTCCCTGTTGATGAAGTGACATTTTCCTCTCTTGTTTTTGCAGACAGTCTATCTATGGAGCCCTACCTCTCTCTTGGAGCAGCTGGTTTAGTCTTGCTTTTCCTGGTGCTGATTGTGGCTGAAGCCATTTATAACTGGAGATCAGAAAGACCTAAATAGCCCAGTGGTGCCAGCGAGCCCCATTCCCACCCCCAATCACAAGAATGGCTCTCCGCCTCTCAGAGAATGCCAACTGGATTCCTTACCTGCAGCTCACCTGTGGACTGGGGTGCTGGTGAGGGAGAGGTGGACAACGTAGCATGGTGGCATGACTGTGGTGGGCTTTTTCCCACAGAAACTGTTTATTGATCTCATTTGGAAAACATAAAATTCTTCTTTTGTTTACTGATGGACACAGAGATGGCAAAATGGATTCCAAACCCATTTTGAGTTGTAGAGGATTTTTACTGGTTCCCCTAAAATCTAGACCCACAGATAAATAGTATGTTCAAGGTGATGCAAAATCTAGGGGAAATGATAACCTTCTAATAATGGGATGGACTATGGACAAAAATTATAAAATTTACTGCAAGTCAAACCTTAAGAGAAAACTGATACAAAATGTATTATTGAAAAAATATATAGAACTCCCAAAGACATTAAAAAAACAGGCAAACGCCATTTGGATCTCTGTTGGAAGCGCCATGAAGCTGAAGGCTCACACTACCACATGTGTTGTGTTTGCAATATATGTAAATTAATAGATGGATTATGCAGATTGGTGCATTTTTCCCCCTACATGATACAAATTAAATAAATTATTTGTTGCATCATTTCGCTTCTTGTATTTTTCATCTTTGGGATCATATCAATCAATCATCTTCAGGAGACAGTATAGTGGCTTGGACAGGGTTTGTCATTGGCTTGGACAGGGATACAGAGGTTCAAATCCCAGCTTAGTCGCACTGCTCATCTGGTGTTCTTGGGCCAAGCTCTCAACCAAACCAGATGACATATCTAATGTCCAGGCAAAACCCAGCTAAGTGAGTAATATGTGTAACCTTACTTTTAACCTGTAAGGTGCAGGAACAGAGGAGAGTCGGGGTGGGAAGAAGACTCTATCTCAATAATATGAGGATTTGGGGACCTGACAGCTGGATCAAGGCAAGCTATGCACCAGGAGCCTTCTGGTCCTGTCAGGAATGTCCAGTGCTTCATGATGACTGGAGCACTGAAGTATCGCTAAACAGCAAGTTGGGAGTTTAGATGCTGCAACTTGTCTGTGTAACCTCTGGGTCTTGTGTTCAATCCGCCAGTCCAATGCCTTCTAAGCCAGAGATGCCCTTCCAAGGCTCCCTCTCAGCAGTGGATGGGTGCTGTCTAGCTATAGTCACTCAGATACACTCACTCCACATCTAGGAATAGGTGCCGCCATCCCAGAAGTGGAGTGTGATAAAACATGGTCTCTATTCATCATCTCTATTCACAGGCACTTCTCATCAACTCAGCGTTCCAACTGGCTACACATGTCTCTTTTTTCACTCCTGTGATCAGAACCAGACCCCATCTCACTTTGTTATCACGTACATACCAACTGTTTGTACCTTATATTTTAGAGAACAAGGCAAGACCTTGTAATTGCCCTTATTGTGTAGTTTCAACTCTGAAGATTCACATGTACCTGCTCAGATCTGTTCTCTTCCTGGCCTGTGTGGGTTCGCTATGGCTGAAGGACCAAAAGGGATGTGGTTTGTCAGGTGACCTCCGATGCTTATTGCAGACAAGAAAGCTGAAAAGTCAAAGGGACATTCTAGATAACTGAGAAGCACTGAGGTGAATAACCACAGTTGCAGTTTAGAAGACCGGAGCCCTTGCTGAACAGCTTTGCAGGCCTTCAGAACTAAGAAAAAGATGGTGCTAATCCACAGGGCTGAGTGGCCCATTCACATGAGATGGCCTTTCCATGCCCTCTTTCTTGGTTGGTACCTCCCATGGAAGGATAACAGATATGTGCAATGGCAGGGCGGAGGACTGCAGATTGCTCTTTCACTACCACCTTAATAGTTCCACTAATGAGATCATCTTCTTTTCTAGGTTGGTGGCTCACTGGGCAGTTGGGGGTGTCTGGAGGTGAGTATTAATAGTGTTATGCTTATTGATTTCCTCAGGAAGGGCAGTTGATGGATCTTTTGCTTGTCTTTGGAGGAAGAGACGTCATGAGGCTGAAGCTGTGTTTGCAGCGTTAAAATTCATTGGCAAATAAAGACTTAAACATAGTGGGAGCATATCTGGGACCAGATCTCCATTGAGCAGCACCTGCTGTTCTACAGTCATGCAAAGCTTTCTTTTCTCCCCTATATCAGGAATGGGATGGGAATACACTGGAGATGTATGTGCGCATGTGAGAGGGAGGGAGGAAGAGAGGAAGAGAAAGAAAGAAAGAAAGAAAGAAAGAAAGAAAGAAAGAAAGAAAGAAAGAAAGAAAGAAAGAAAGAAAGAAAGAAAGAAAGAAAGAAAGAAAGAAAGGCACCATTGATCTATACTGTATATCTCAGTGTTTTCTGTCCTTACCGATTAAGGGTGCAGTCAGATGGTTGCAAAGGTACACAATTGATCTCAGTGGAAAAGGTTGCTTTAACAGAGGAAATTCCCTTAAAGTGACCCTCTGTGCACCGGGGAATCTCTTCAGAAATCCTACACGAGCAGATATGTGCTATGGTATGGATTGGGGTCAGCTTGGAGTTCAGTTCCTCTGCATTGTATGTTCACTGGGAGACAGATCACACTGGGTATGGTCCAAACTTCTATCTGTTTCTCTGTGTGATTAAATCAAGAGTTGCAGGCGCATGCCTATTGCCGTTCACTGGGATGTCCAGGGATTGAATGCAGGACACACTGCACACAAAATATGTTCTCCGCTGCTAAGCTAGGTCCTTTCATCAGTTGCTGGTTTTGGGGAAGGGCCATGATTCCTACATTAATGTAATATATGCCCCCCAAGTAGCCCAGAAATCTGTGTGGCCCAGTTTTAGCATTTGCTGCTGACATTAGGTGGCAAACCAGTAAATCCTTACTTAAAGCAAGCAAGTGCTGTCAATGGCTTGAAATGTTTTGCCTGGCTGCAGTGCATTCAGAGGAAACAAAATGCTTGTTTTAAATGGGGGTTTCCCTGTTTTCCAACCTTGATGGCAGAGGAGGAATGTAGTTTGTGGTGGGTCCAGAGCAGAGAGAAATTGCCCAGCTTGCCTTATGTAATTTTGCCATTCACTGTTCTTTGGTCTGGAGAAATTAGGTGACAACCTTTATCTGCATACTGTGTAAAGCTACACTTATCAACAAGCAAAGGTTTTTGTTGTTGTTCCACCTTGATTCCATCCCTCTGTTAACAACAGCAGAAGCTGAGCATTTTAGAGGATGATGTATCCTTTCTCCCTCCTGTGCACTGGGAGTGTAGAGTGTAAAACCCTTTGCTTCTCTTTCAGCTCAGGTGGGTCTCATTCATTGGGAAGGATCGGCACCATCGGCTTTTCATCCTTTGCTCAGTTGCAAATATGGCTATTATTGGAGAAGAGATTGTGGCAGAGAGGATTAAAGAATGCAACACCTATTTCATTAACAAATGTTTTAAACAAACAGACACAATCTTAGATCAGTTGTGGCCCTTCAGATGCTTCTGTCCTGTAGCTCCCATTGACCCTCACCAACATATTCATTTGGGAAGGATTGTTGTTAGTTGTGATCTGAAAGCATCCAGGGGTCCCCAGTTGCCCCTTCCAAACTTGAATCTGCTATTGCACTGTGAATATTTACTCTGTTTCCATCCTAGGACAATTTTGGCCGAAGCCTTCCATCTCAGTGAGCCCGTGTGCGATGGTGCCCGTGGGAGAAAATGCCACCATCCGATGTAAATGTGAAGAAAGATACCTACCCGCGGAATTCACTCTGTCTAAAACGGAGTCAGGATCCTTGCGTGTTGTGAGCACCAAGACGGTAGAGAGGGACGAGGCTGTATTTCACATTATCAATGCGAAGCCCTCTGATGCAGGGACGTATCGGTGTATCTTCCGATTAGAACATCGTCCACTCCATTTATCACGTTACAGCGACAAAGTACACATCGAGACAAAAGGTAAGGGTGTGACTCGGTTCCTATATGGGAATATCCTAAATATCATTTACATGTGTTTTGTAGTTCCTCACAGATGTAAGCCAATTACGTAGAAAACTTGTATTAACTGAAATGTTTATTCAGATTGTCTCTCACTTTAAGACACATGTTCGTATTATTAGCAACATTCATCAGTGATTCATTCGAGAACCAAAGGCATATTTTGTGAGTGTGTCCAGTTTTTTCCCCCTAATCCTATCACTCGGACTAAATAAAAAACCCTTCATGAAGATGGCAGAGCAACAAGCTCCGGGCATCCCAGTGACCACATATATACTAGAATTCAGTGGTTGCTGTAGAGCGTTAACTTTGAGAGAGTGAGAGGGGCAGTGAGAGAGAGAGAAAAAGAGGGAGAGAAGGAGTGAGTGAGTACACAATGTGCTCATTGAAACATGGCATATCGGCTAATCCTAACTAGGTTGTGGGCTCTGCCCTCGTGTTGATGATTCAAATGCCACAGGGGAGTGTAGTGGCTAGAGAGAAAGGTGGTCAGTTTTTCACTTTGCCGCTTTACTTAGTTATGTGATCAGATGGTGAGAAAGCATCATGATGATTGATACTTATCTTTTTTAAAATAATGCTTCCTCCATTGCCCCCCGCCCCTGCCCAAGTAGACCAGCTTCCAGATCAAAAAACGTCCAGCTTGGTCATAGACCAGGGCTGGACTGCATTGCTGCGATCACCAGGAAAATAGGCCACACTAGCCAAGTAATGCAAAATGTGAGCTATTGCCTATTTCCTGTCTGATTTCCCAGTTCTTCCGTTGTGTCCCCCACGCCTCTCTTTTCCCTTTGTGTGCCACTCCATCTCTGTGCATTTCTTCTCTTATCACGACCTCTCTCTCTTCAGTCTTCAATTTCGATTCCATCCCTACCTTGTTGGAAAGACAGAAAGATGCCACCGTTTTGCGCCTGTGATTCTGAGCCTCCAGAGGGCAGCAGAGGCAGGGAAAGTCTGCTGAGAATGGTCTGGTCTTCTCCCTACACAAATCGAAGGACCTGGCAGTTTCTCAAATTGCAAAAAACACAATAGAATTCCCCTTGTTTATAGTGAGGATGGACATAGGAAGGAACGGCACCTTTCAGTATTGCCAAAAAAGAAACCCCTTTGTATGGTCTGAGCCCAGCGACTCTGTGGAGTTGCCTGCAACAGGTGAGGAGGAGCCTGGTGTGGGCACACTTGAATTCGGCACTTGCTCTGTTCTGCCTCTTGCATATAATAAAAAGACGTTAGGAAGGAGGTCTGCTCACCAGAAGTAACAGAAATAAGCTGAAAGGGATACACAGTGTTGTCTGTTCTCTTGTCAAATGGAACCAGATTTCTAAGGAATGAACGCTCAAAACAGAAGAGAAGATTGCAGAGAACATCTCAAGATTAGAAAATGAGCCTGCGGGTGTCAATTGGGACAGAGGACATATACGGAGTTATTGATAATGCAGGGAGCAAAAAATGTGGTGGTTGCTCAGGATTTGCTGTCTATGATGGTTATGCCCAAATTTGTCTTTCTTTGCTTCATGTCCCATGCTACAATTTTTCATTGTGAGGAACTACTGCAATATTAAGTCACCCAATGGGATATATGGCAAAAGTATTTTATTTATTTATTTATTTATTTATTGCATTTATATGCCGCCCATCTAGACATAGTCTACTCTGATCAGTTTCACCTAAAGAGAAGGGTGGGTAGGTGTTTCAGAACAGAGAGATCAGACTGAGCCCCAATGACTCTCCCAATTTCACCTTCCTTTTTGTGGGCAGAATAATGGAGGCTTGTCCATGCTGAAAACTGTTTGAGAGCAGGGAAGCAGACAAAAACTTCAAGGTGAACACAAATGATGCTTCCCAAAGCCGTGGCAGGTTGTAGCAACCATTATATTTTCAACCGAAATCTCCTCTGGGGTTCATTGCCCCCAAAGGGTTTACCCGGGTGTTTGTGGATCACAGGTCGCCTTATATGTGTTGTAGCCCTGCTTAAATAATGTTTTCCTTGATGTTTCGGATAGGGATATTAAAGTTAGTGTTTATGTGTATACACTGTATTAGAAACTGGCCTTTTTGGGGAGAAAGATGCCTGTGTTTTCTGAGAAGGGATGACTAGGTCCTTTTTTTTTTAACAAAAGAAGAGAAATGATAGCAGAAAGATATAATTGCTGTCTGTTCCGCAAAGAAAGTGATTTTAACTGAGATGTGTCATTTTCTAAGAGCCGGAAGAAGGGAAGGAAATGGAAAAAGATGAAAACCTCAGACAAGCAACAAGCCTGCAGGAGGGGAAAATGAAAACAAAACCCCCCATTTCCCAGCAAGGAAAACCACATGGCAGTTTCTGAGGGAGATCCCCTCTGTGTGCAAGTTTTGTCTCCTCCCTGGGTACCATGAGGTCCTTCTGCCCTCTGGCCCATCTTCGAAGCCCTTTGTCTTCTCCTCTCCCTACCTTGAACCTGCCCCAGCCTGTTTCCTCCCTAGTTTCGAAGTGGTCGTGGTGGAGCAGGAGGAGGGCAAGCAAGAGCAGCCCCATGTAAAGGAAAGACAACAGCAGCCTTTTTACACAAATGTGGTGGCGGCAGATTGCAGGTTACTTGGCTTTTGTAAAAGGGGCTCATGGCTCGAAAAAGTTGGGGACCACTGCTCTGGAGGGATGGCTCGAAGAATTGCCCTCACTGACTTGGTTCAAAAAGGATCTACATGATTATGCAGCTTGGTTTTGATACTAGCTTGGATAGTGAGGACAGTGATTTCCACCTCCACTCCAAGTGAGGAATGGGGCAACTTTTTTCTCCCTAGTTCTGATTAATAGTTAGTCTAGAAAGAACTCTGAGCCCAACTGAATATATATGCTCTGTGGAAATATGTGTGATCTGTTGGTTACAATTTTGATTTTTCCCCCCCTTTGCAGATGACAGCCAACTAAACCACGGCTCTTTCTATTTTCCATCCGTGGAGGTCTGGATTCGTCTGGGAGTGGGCATCGTAGCTATTCTTGCCCTGGTGCTGATCCTGGCTGAGGCCACATACAGCTGGAGGACTGAGCAGCATTTCAGGAACATGGACTGAAGCAACTCTCTCAGCAAAGGGCTTCCTTTGATAAGACTGCACACTGGATCACAAGAACAAATTTACTTTACCTTCAATAGCAAGTTTTTTGTTTTCTTTCATGTACAGAACCTTTTCTAAGTCTATAGTTAAAAAGCAGGCATTTTGTATTCGGCTTCATATTCCCTGAACACTGCTTCACCCTGGGAGCCGCTCTTGGCCATACAAAGTCCTCCTGGAACCCTCGTTCCAGTGTTGTTGCCCCCAGCGTGCCCTCGATGTTACCCTTCCCTGTTGTCACCAGCCCTGCTCAGCACCTGGAAACTCCACATTGTGGCTTCCATTATGGAACCAGTCCTTCTCTTATTTGGTCTTCCTCTTTGCCAATGAATCTCGTCTTGTCATGACAAGACATGACATGACCTTGCACAATGTCTAAAAGCCCGAGCTTCATCATATTTGCTTTCATTTCCGGCCTGAACTTCAATCCACTCATTGGACTTCCTGGTTGTCCAGGGTCTCTGCAAAGCGCTCCTCCAGCACCATGTGTCAAAAGAAGAGATTTTTCTCTTGTCCTCTTTCTTGACCGTCCAGCTTTTACATCTGAACGTGGTAATCAGGACTATCATTGTGCGGGTGACCTTCACCTTGGCCATCCGTGACACGAGGATCTTTTCTCCTTCCAGCTCAAAGTTACGGCACAGAAATTACAGCCCATTACTGTGCATCCTTGCTTAGCATAAACATATGGCTGTTACACCAAAAGCAAAGTTCCTGAAACACACAGGAGGATTTTAAAATCCACCAGAGTTGACATTGTGGATGGGGGGGGGCACAAAGTGACTTGAGCTCAGTGGAGAATTATTTTAGCATCTTTTTTTGTATTCTATTTCTGATGAAGTGAATTTGATGCACAAAAGCTTGCGCTGAATGTTTGGTTTTTAGTGGTCGAAACAAAGGTTTCACCTCTCCTACATTAGATCCTACTACACTATCACGTTTCCACAGTGACAGAGGTCTACAGGCTCCAGCTGGGCAGTTTGATCTTTATAAACTGCTGCAGTGGCAGGTGGTGTTCATTTTGATGGGTGGAGTGGAAAGCGTGAGTCAGGAGGACACAATCATAACCAGGGAGGGAGCGCAGGTGGCTCCTTGACCCTCTGGCACTGGTAAGGAAGTGGGCCACAATAGACAGGCTTTGGGGAACATAGGCTGCACCTGAGGTGGGCCAAGCCACTGACCGCTACCCAGGGCCTTCTCATTTTTAGTGCCAGGGATCTTTCCAGGCAAAGTTTAGGCCCTCCTTTGCTTCAAAAGGCCTTTCATCAAACGGCCTCTGCGGTGCCTCCACATTATTCTTTATCTCGCGAACAGAGCAAACCCATTCCCGTAGAGACATAGCTCAGAAGTGAGGAGACTGCCGTATTACTGTCCTCAGTGGGAAGGAAGTCACACATGACATCAGATAACACTTCATTTCCTGAAAAAAGAAGAAAAAAAGACGAAAGCAAGGACAAATGGTAGGCACATGAAGACTTCTCCTTCTGTGAAATCCTTCCCTTTCTCTTAAGAGAAAAAGAAACCACAATTTATTATTCACAAGATGCAACAGAATGCAACTTCCCTCCACGTGCCTTTCCAGAACACCATGCTGAGGCCTATGCTCATGGAAACGTTTCCAAACGACAAAAATGCCATATCAGGGCAGAGAGAAAGTTCTGCCCAAAGAGAAAGGGAGACATCCCAATTTGGGTGAAAGATAGTGGAATTCCAGCAAAAGGCAGGTATTGGTGAACTATCTCTTCAGGTTATCCTTATTTTTTTTTCCCCAACACAGAGGGCACTATATGGATTTTAACCCTTAGCTGGAAAACATCTGTGACTCAGTATCAATACCTGTCCTAAGCCTTGTTTTGGATGACCAAGAAGAAGCTTCCTTCATCATTGCTGGTCTTTGGGCTAAGCCCCGTGTTCTATTGTTTGTTGAAGTTTTAGCAACTTCACATGCTGCCTTTCTTGGGTTTGGGTGGGGGGACCTTTCTGGGCTGGGGTGACTGTCGCTTCCTTCATCATTGCTGGTCTTTCGGCTAAGCCCCGTGTTCTATTATTTGTTGAAGTTTTAGCAACCTCACCGGCTGCCTTTTTTTTTTGTTTGGGTGGGGGGGCCTTTCTGGGCTGGGGTGACTGTCAAGCTCTTCAGATGTAACCAGTCATTCCATTGCATTCCAAAAGTTTCAAGGTTGCACAGAAACACATTTCTGATGAGAGATGGTCATGAACCTCAGTTTTGCTAAAGAGCAAGTTGGAGTTTGGCTGCTGCAATGTCTCTACATAACCTCTGGGTCTTCTTTTCAACTTGCCAGGCCAACGGGAGCTTGATCTCCTCACAGCCAGGAACAGGAGGTTAGGCTCCCTCCCAGCAGTGGAAGGGCACTGTCTAGTTACAGTCACAAAGACCTGTTCAATCCCCATCTTAGGAATAGCTATCCTTGTCCCAAAAGCCAGGTATGAGGAGGACCCGCGATCCTCCTTTTGCTCTCAGGCCTCCTTGCTTTCAATGAGATCTCACTCCCTTCATGTCCTTCAAAGGAGGCTACTCAGAGGCCCTTCTAGAAGAGTCACCGGGAAGGCTTGAGGTCTAGACTCACCTAATTTTGTTCTTTTTGAATTTTAATCACCATACAGCTAGCTGGTTTAGTAGTAATCCACTTAAAATAGTTTAAGTGAGATCCAGAATCATACAACATTGACTGGGCTGTCACTGACAGCAGCAAGACCAGTTGTTGTAGGAGACTGAAAATGTTTGCACAATTATGTTGTAAACTGTGTGCTCTAGCACGACTAGTTGAAAGGACAACTAGTCAACAATGAGATTTTGCCATTATTCTTCTTGTTGTTTGGTTGGAACTTGGAAGATTCAAATGTGCCTGCTCGAATCTGTTCCCTTCCTGATCTGAGTGTGCTTGCTGTGGCTGAAGCGCCAAAGGGGATGTGGTTTGTCAGGTGACATCCAGTGCTAATTGCGGACAAAAATGCTGTGAAATCACAAGGACGTTGCATACAGTTGAGATGTACTGGGTTGTAGTTTAGAAACCAGGTCTCTCTTAGAAGACTGCAGTGCTACGAAAAAGACAATGCTGCACTACAAGGCTAAGTGGCCCCTTCATACGAGACAGCCTTTCCGTGGCTTCCTTCTTGGTTGGTACCTCCTCTGGAAGGGTAATAGGAGCAGATATGTGCCATGGCCGGGTGGAGGATCACACATGGCTCCCCCACCACCATCTTCATGGTTCCACTAATGAGATCCTCTCCTTTTCAGGCTGGTGGCTGACTGGGCTGTTGGGGGTGTCTGGAAGTGAGTATTAATCTTGTTCTGTTTACTAATTTTCTCAGTTACTGGGCTGTTTCTGAAGAGCATTTCATGCATCCTTTGATATTCTTTGAAGGAAGAGATTACAGCATGCTTAAAATGTATCTGCAACATTTGAGTTCATTGGCAAATATATAGTTAAAACATAGTCTGAGTGTATCTTGTCACTTTAACTGACAGCCAGAGCATCTGCTCTACGGTCATGCAAAGGTCCCTTTTAACCTCCATTCTGTGAATGGGCTGGCAATATACTGGGGGATGTTATTAGGATGTAAAACTGGGAGGTAGGGGGAGGTAGGGAGGGAGAATGAAAGAAGGAGAGAGGGGGGCAGGCCGTGGTCACACTAAAACAGGAGTCTCCAAACTTTTCAGCGGGAGGGCCACATCATATATGCTCCATATTTTTGAGGGCTGAATGGAGGTGTGTGTGTGCTACATAAGCACTCCCACCCCCCTGCCCACACCCACCTACCCAGAGCTCTTTCTATTTCTATTTTGCATCCATGGAGGTCTCGATTTGTCTGGGAGTGGGCATCATAGTTAATCTTGCCCTGGTGCTCGCTGGGGCCATATACAGTTGGAGGACTGAACAGCATTTCAGGAACATTAACTCAAACAACTCTCTCAGCAAAGGGCTTCCATTGACAAGACTGCACACTGGATCAGAAGATCTCAAGTGGGTATAGAGGAACCCCCTTCCTTTTCTTGGGCCTTCTCCCATCCCCGCTTCCCTTGGTGTTTTTTTTTTTAAATTGTGATTTAATTTAATCAATGTGTCAGGAAAACACCCTTGCTGATCACATACTGATCTGGGGCATTTCTTCCTATTTCCGTGTTTTGTTACCATCTGTGGACGAGAAACCACAGCACATACAGTGGCGGTCAAAAGACAGTAAAGGGATTGATGCTTTCTATCTGACAGAAGTATACCAACACACCACCATTCCTGTTTTTTTAACATTGAAAAAATTAAGGACAGTGGGTGAGGGAGATGGGACTGCACTCCAGATGCATAAGGAACGAATTGGTTTTGGAGTGCACACTCAATGGGATATCAGTTGTATAGCGTGATGAAATGTGGAAAAAATATAGTAGTAGCTGGCTGGCTGGATTTGCTGTGGAGATAGAAGGGAGGGAAAACAAAAGAATCAGTAATGGCCATGTGTCATCTGAATCCTTCCAAAAAAGGGTTTTGCTGGCGTGACTGCAGTCAGAGAAAAAGGGAGGGAGGGAAGGAAGCAAACAAGCAGGGCAAAGAGTCTTCCTATAAGTGTGTCTGGACTACATATCTCAGTGTTTTCAGTTCTTACTGACTGAATGAGCAGTCAGGTGGCTGCAAAGACACACGCCTCATTGCACCAGAAAGGGTAGATTTAATAAAGCAGTCTCCCTTAATTAACCCTTTCATGTGCTGGGAATCACTTTAGCCCAGTCCCCAAAAATAAAAACCCTATAGCTGGACCAAAAAAAAGTCCAGCTTGGGCATGGACTGGGGTCAGCCTGGAATGCATTTCCCCCTGCATTGACTCACCTCCCTCTATTACCATCTCTACACAAGAATTGGAGGTTGTTCATGATTTCGTGTACAGTACCTTGGCTCAACGATCTCTGACACACTCTCTCTAGATATCGACCTGGATAAATGCATTGACAAAGCAGCTACCATGTTTTCTAGACTCACAAAGAGTATGGCTCAACAAAAAGCTGATGGCATATACCAAGATCCAGGTCTATACAGCCTGTGTCCTGAGTACACTCCTGTACTGCAGTGAGTCCTGGACCCTTTGTGCACGGCAGGAGAAGAAGCTGAACACGTTCCATATGCTTTGTCTCTGATGTATTTTTGGCATCACTTCGCAGGACAAAATTCCAAATAGTGTAGTCCTGGAATAAGCTGGAATTTTTAGCCATGTATACATTACTGAAACAGCGATGTTTACATTGGTTTGGGCATTTTGTGAGAATCGCTGATGGTCGGATTCCAAAAGATTTCCTGTATGGAGATTTAGTGCAGAGAAAGTGCCCCAGAGGGAGACCCCAGCTGCAATACAAGGATATCTGCAAGCGGGATCTGAAGGCCTTAGGAATGGACCTCAACAGATGGGAAACCTTGACATCTGAGCGTACCACCTGGAGGCAAGCGGTGCAGCATGGCCTCTCCCAATTTGAAGAGACATTTGTTCAGCAGGCTGAGGCAAAGAAGCAGTCCTGAAACCAGCAAAATCAGGGAACTGGACAGGGGACAGATTGTGTTTTGTGTTGACTGACTGCTCCATAAGTGGTCCAAATGATTTCTTTACATGATCATGCCCAGTTTCAGGCACAAGCTTTTTGTGGTTTGCCAGGATGGCCAGGAACGAATACAGGATGCACTGTACACAAAACGTGTTCTCCACTGCTAAGCCAGGAGTTTTAATCAGTTGCTGGTTTTGAGGAAGAGCCATGATTCCCATATATATGTAATATGAGCCCCCCGCCCGAGTAATCGTAGAAAACTGAGTGGCCCAGTTTTAGCATTTGCTGGTAAAACTGGAGGCAAACACACTAATCTTTATTTAAAGCAAGCAAGTGCTGTCAGTGGCTTCAAATGTTTGTTTGTTTGCTTAAAATGCTTTTATCCTGCCTTTCTTCTTAAAAAGAATCCAAGGCAGCTTACATTGTTAAAAGACAAGCTAAAAACAAGGAGTATGCAAAGGTGGCTTTTTAGGAGATGCTTCCAAATGGGTAGCTTACAGCCCAACCAAAGAAAAGAAATTATACACAAGTTACACAAATGCAAGTCTGTGTTACTGAAACACTGCTCTAGACATCTGTGAATGAGGCAGGGCAGTTGCAAGATATAACCCAACTTCAAAATTAGTCACAGTTTACCTTTGTTGCTGCTCCACCTTCTAAATCTCACTCTTTTTGATCTTTTTCTCACCAGGTGAAAATGACCCAAGGCCTTCCATCTCTGTGAGCCCCACTGGGGTGGTCCCTTTGGGGGGAAATGTCACCATCCATTGCACCTGTGGAATCTCTTCAGATGTTACCTGGCATCTCACCAAACATAACCGTGAACCTGGTCATACTGTCGAACAGAAAACAGAACATAAATCTCACTCTTTTTGATCTTTTTCTCACCAGGTGAAAATGACCCAAGGCCTTCCATCTCTGTGAGCCCCACTGGGGTGGTCCCTTTGGGGGGAAATGTCACCATCCATTGCACCTGTGGAATCTCTTCAGATGTTACCTGGCATCTCACCAAACATAACCGTGAACCTGGTCATACTGTCGAACAGAAAACAGAACAAACATGTGTGGTGGTATTTTCCATAAGCAATGCTCAGCTTTCAAATGCAGGGCTGTACTCGTGCAGGTATTGTGTCCGGGACCCATGCTCAGATTTTAGTAATAAAGTCTCCATCAATATAACAGGTGAGAACCTAAGTCAGTACTTGTATGTTGTTTTGCCAGAAGGCACTAAAAGGCCTTTTCCCCACAGAATGAACCAAACAAGAAGGTTGTATTGACTAAGCTGTGCATCTGTGTTCAAAACCAGCTCTTCCTGCCTCGTTTCATACTTGAACATCATTAGGAGGATGGACAAGCGATGCATTCCAAATAAAGAGATGTTAGTTTCCCTCTCCCTTTTAAATCAAGCTGTTTCTATGAAGCTTCAATAGAAAACAACATGCGGTGTGATCACAGAATGGGAAAGGTGCCCGTGAGATGCCACCGGAAAGAGCCCCTTGATGGGGAGCGATCTCCCTTGAAGCAATCCTTCCATCTGTTGGGGATCAGCTCTAGCCTGGAAAAAAATAGTAGTAGCCCTACAGGTGGCCTAGATCAGGGTTGGAGTGAAGTACAATGAGATTATTCCAGAAGCATTCCAGATGGCAATCTATTTCTCTGCGTGACCACACCACTAGTGTGCTAGCATAAAAGCACAGAATATTGTATCTCAGGGCTCATCCACACAAAGTGTGTAGCTTGGATTGATGTGGGTTGGAACTATGAACCTTTTTCTCCATAGATCTGGAATCACCGGCTCCTTGTTTCCACACCAGTTAGTTTCCTGGAGTGCAATCCAGATTCTTCAGATTTCAGTTGGCACACCATCTTCCTCCTCACACCCCTCCATTTCCTTCTCATGCCCCTTCCTTTCTTCACCCTTTCCCATCTCTCATCTCTTTCTCTCCTTTAATATTGTCTTTCACAACGTTTGAGATTGAGTTGCATCAACTGATCCAGTAATTTAAGATTTGACCAGGAACTTCCCTCAGGATTGCTGAAATGAGAAGGAAGCAAACAGTGGTTGTTCCCTCATTTCTAAAAATAGAAAACAAGGCTGTTAGAACCTGCATTTAGTTTTCTTGGATATTTACATCAATAGGATTTCCAGAATAATGCAGATTGTTGTATATATAACCAACACTTGAAATGTTCTTTGAAGATTACATATTCCTGTTTAAGGTTGAAGAATGTAATGTTTCAGTCATCTGGGATAACAATGGGATGGTCGGCTGGGGTGAGGGATGCTTAACATAGTCCTAGAAGGGATCCCAATAGTCAGAAGCCCAGCAGCCAAACTGGAAAAATGGAAGAGGGGACTCTTGTAAAAATACTGAAAGTCAACCTTTGTGTGTAAAAAGGGGGGTGGGCAGGGAGATTGTTTGTGACTTTATTGAGCAGCAGACGTGTATGCAAGGCAACAAGAAGATTTACCAAATCCTTCCTCCCCATAGATCCCAGCCTGCCCCAACCCTCTATCCAGATGAACCTGAGAGGAAAGAACACTTCAGGTCTGAATGTCACCATAACGTGCCAAGGGCCCAAGAATGGTCTGATGTTTGCCTTATATAATTCAAGGGAGCAGATAGCATTTCAGGCTGCAGAGCCAAAGAAAAACACCACCATCTTCTCAATCTCCCTGGTGAGATCAGAGGATGCAAGGAACTACAGGTGCCAATACCGTCAGAAGGGAAAAGCATTTGTCTGGTCAGAACCAAGTGACCCTACAGAGCTGGAGCTGGAGGTGGAAGTGGAAGGTGAGGCACCAAACTCAACAGAATACTTTAACATTTCCTAGAAGGAAGGATTTTCATGTCATGGTGGGGTTTTTAAAGAAACCTTTCACTGGAACCTATGGTGGATCTCTTTGTGAGGAGTGTCAGAAGCCGTGGCTCAGAAAACCCAGAGTCTCACAGAAGCAGGATGAGCAGGGACAAAGAGGGATCCTTCTGAGGGTGCAAGCAGGGCAGAAGGCAGTGAATTTCTCACTATATAGGCCTCTCCTTTCCCCCTACACAGCTGTGGCTTTAATTGATTATCTTTCTGGCCTACCATGCAAACTCTTGCCTTCATTCCTTAACACGTCTTGTAATTTCCATTTTTGGACTGATTCTCTCCCACACTGCCTCGTAAGGATGTAAGAAATATTCACAGATTTTCTTGTTTCTGAGGAAAAAGTGTTTCTTGACACATCAACTTGATGGTTTTACTGAGAAAGGATGGACCGGTTGATAGAAATACTATGACTCAAACTTAAGATAACGTCTGTGGATGGTGTTGCGGGGCCATCACTGTCTACAGTAATGAAACACGATTACTGTCTTCCAGGCAGAAAGTCTCAGGTTCAGCATGTGGTCAACTTCAGGCAGGGCTGAGGAACAGTCTTATTTTGAATGCTTGGAACTGCTGCCAGTCACCGTAGACAGGGGTGAGGTGGATGGGGATGTGGTCTTCCCAGCTTCATCATTCTAATTCAAGGCTTCCATGCTTCTACAGACACAGCCATTGCCAAATGGGCGAGCATTGCTGCAGGCCTTCTCCTTCTGGTTCTCCTTCTGGCATTGATTGCCTTTGTCCTGCACAGGAAAAAGAGAAGAGGTAAATGAAAGTATTAATAATAATAAGAATAATAAGAATAAGAAGAATAAGAATAATAAGAATAAGAATAAGAAATTATTATTATTGTTGTTGTTGTTGTTGTTGTTTTTGTTGTTGTTGTTGTTGTTGATGTTGATGATGATGATGTTGTTGTTGTTGTTGTTGTTGTTGTTGTTGTTGTTGTTATTATTATTATTATTATTATTATTATTATGAAAGCTAAGATCCAAGGAATTAGTACTAATAGCAAATGTCGACTCTGCCAAGAAAAAGATGAAACTGTGTCACATGTCATCTGGTAATGTCCATAGACTGCACAAACTGATTACAAAATTAAACACGATAGAGTGGCAAAATTAGTGTACTGGTCCTTATGCAATATATATATATAACTTGTTGGCCTCCAAAAGCCCATCAGGTAGAGAAGGTATCAGAAAATGAAGAAATCAAGGTCTTGTGGGATTTCTGGATCCAAACAGATAGACACCTTGTACATAACACACCAGACATAGTAGTAATAAAATGAAGAAATGTCTGGACCGTTGACATTGATATTCCAGGGTATGCCAGAGTTAAAAATAAAGAATTTGAAAAACTAACAAAGTACAGAAATCTAGCAATTGAAACACCTCACCTCTGGAAGAAACACACTTCAGTGGTCCCCGTAGTCATTGGGGCTTTGGGAAAAATATCAAGAAACTTCACACAGTACTATAAGCAGTTACAGATCTCAGAAAAAAAAAAACACAATTAGAGCTACAAAAATGGCAATATGAAGAAGAGCATACACATTGCACCAACATTTAATGGACACAGGTTTTTGGTTAAAACTTGCATCTGTTATATAATACTAGTCAATTTTTAAAATAGTTTTGATTGATTATGCCTGGTGTTTTTGAACAGCTGCTGCTGCTACTGCTACTAGCCTGCCATCAAATCAATTCCAACTTCGTGATACTTTCCAGAGTTTTCTAGGTAGATAATACACAAAAGTAATTTGCCATTCCGTTATTCTGGGAGCACCCTGGGATTGGGTGGCACAGCGCGAAATAAAATTCCCAGCCTCTGGCTCTGCAGCCAGATACCTGAACCATTGAGCTCACTAGCCAGTCTTATAGGTGGCTCTATAACAGGAATTTGAAGAGAACTCAAAATCTGCTCCTTCTCTGTGGTTTTCCAGCCAGTTTCTCTCAGACTGATGGCATGCTATTAGTACAAAGAGCACAAAGAGCTCCAGTAAAATTCCACATGAAATTTCCAGCCACCTAATTGAATTATTCTGTGGGTGGGCGTGGTTAGTGGCATAGGCAGTATCAAACCCAAAAGATAGGAAGCGAGAGACCACCTCCATCCACACAAGGTAGGGTTCTTAGGTTTTGTATTTGGATTACAGAGGGAGGGAGCAGTATCTGCAGTTTTAATTCAGAAGGAATTACACACAAAAAATTCACAGGGCATTTCTGATCTACAGGTTCCTTTGTCAAGGAAGAAAGCCAACCAGTGAACAAGGTAAGAAATATTTGTATGGCTTAAAAATAGCTTTATTGTTGTGAGAGATGAAGTGCTTTAATTAGGCAGCAAATATCATTTAGAGAAGTGGCAGAATGGGGTGCAGTGAGGTTGACCCTGTTTAAGGATGGCAGTAAGAGGACAGCTGTGTGTACGATTCCACTTTGTGGTTGCTTGTTTTGATGAAGCATGATACAGTACTTGGAATGGGGGTGGCAATAAGATGGATCAGGAAATCTTTTTTTGTTGTTTTTATTTATGTCTATTTATATGCTGTTTTAATGTGTTTTAACCTATGTAAGCTGCCCCGAGTAGATGTTATCTAGAGGGGCGGGGTAAAAATCAAATAAATAAATAAATAATCTAAAACATAAACAAAAACATAAAATACACAAATCAAAATACAATATAACTGTGTTCCCCATCACCATAGATGGGACCTCTTGCTATAACCTTCTTCCTCCATCTATATTCTTCCTCTTTTTTTATTGTTCTCTTCTCCAGAACTGCATTGATTCTTGATTTGGAGCTTTCCCCTTTCCTCTTGTTAATACATATTCCAAGAATCTGCCCCATATTTCATAAAAAATATTCTTTTTCAACTCTCCTTTCTTAACCTTTAAATTACAAGTTAATTTAGCATTTAGAGCTATATTCCATATTTCACTATACCATTCATCCATTTGAAATTCAGGTTTTGATTTCCATGGCCTAGCTATTATTAATCTCGCTGCTGTTAATAAATTAGTCATCAATTCTTTAATCATCTTATCATATTCCACATTCTCAAATATTGATAAAGCGATCTCAGGATTCAGTTCTATGTCTTTTCCACATATCTCATTTAATTTTTAAAAAATTTGTTTCCAAAATCTTTCTACTTTTCAAGGGTCAGGAATTCTAGAAGCAGTTCAAGATGTCATATAAATAAAGCCACAATACAGAATTTTAAAAATGTCTATCAATTAATCCTTCTTATTTGTTCCCATGCTGGCTTTTCTGGAGGGAGGGCTGCCAGGATTATATTCTAAGTATTTCTTTTTCCTCTTTAGCCCTCAGAACCTGGTCGTGATGAAAATCCCGAGGACGTCTCCTATGCTGTATTGAACCACAAATCGTGGAAACCCGTGCAGATGTCCAGTCCTAACACAGTCTCTGAATCCTGCGTCTATGCAACTGTTGTCAAAGATTAAAACCAGGAAGGGACGAAATGCAGGACTTCTGAAGGATAGTGCTATTCTGGGAACTTGACATGAATTACAGGGAAGCTGGTTCAGGCATTCAGGGGCTGATTTATCCAATATGGGTATTTAGGTATTTGAGGAAACGCCATGACAGACTGGACAGTATGTGACTGTGCAGTCTAGTTTCAGGAGTTTGAAACCCCATTGTGCCTCAAAAAGAGAGGCCAGCCAAAACACACTGAGAGTGTGTGTGGCTGATGGGATTATGTGTCCTTCCACCCTAAAGGCCTTGGGTGAGCATCATGATGCTGTAGTGCTACCAGAAGGAAAAACTGCTATATCACCTCTGAGTACATTATACTGAGAAAAACCTGGGAAGACTGCTGTACATTGGTATCATCTTCATGGGACAGAACATAAGATAACCCAGCTGGCTTGGTCTACTATCACTACACTGTGGTGACCAGTGCTTTCACCTAATGAAATATATATATGATCAGAAAATGACCAAAGTCTTATAGGTTGCAAATCATATATATATATATGATATATATATATAAAAGACTTCAGTCATTTTCTGATCATGACCAATTTTTGGTTCCAGCCAAAAGATGAGATGACTTTTTCTCATCTGGCTAGTTGTGATATGTTCTTGTCAAGATTTTCTGATCATGACCAACATGACCAGTGCTTTCACCTAATGAAATATATATATGATCAGAAAAATGACCGAAGTCTTATATATATATTTCTGATCATGACCAACATGATGCAAAGGCTGGTTCAAATCAGTCCAGTCCTTTTTTTCTCCCAAAGTAGCTTTCTTCCCCCTCTGCCTCTGGAGGGTTTCTACATTTTCAAGCCAGAATGATTCAAAAAGACTTTTTCTCATCTGGTTAGTTGTGATACATTCTTGTCCAGATTGGGAACATGTCTGTAAGCGGTGTTTTGGTGATCTTGGCACTTGAGGCACGATGTTCAAGACCAGGAGAACATGCCCCCACATTCTTTCCTTTCCTCTGATCATCCACTGATTTTTTTAAAAATAAATTAAAATTTCATACTTATATGAGATCAGCACTAGATCATCCTATCATCTTCTTGGAGGGTCATCATCAGGATTATTTCCCAGATTTACATCACTGTCAGTTTACTGTCAGATTGTGAGAGGTGGGACCAGAGGAAGGAAGGAAAGAAGCGAGGGCTGTGGGCTGGAATGCAATTCACATCGCAGCCAGTATGAATGGTGAACTCCTGAATCACTTAGCAGCCTCTGTGTGAGCATTGACTGCAATTTGAAGTGTAATATAGGTTGCAAATCAAATCTTAGCAGTGTAGCTGCGCCCTTACTTCCAGCTTTTGGGAGGCCCTTAGGAAAGATGCTGTAAGGGCATCACATACCCATGTAGCTCTCTGTCAGTGAATTTCCTGATCAAGGTACCATGTTTCCCCAAAAATAAGACAGTGTCTTATATTAATTTTTGCTCCATAATTCATTAGGCCTTGTTTTCAGGGGATGTTTTATTTTACATTTATTTTTAAATATTTCTACATTTATTCAAATACAGTCATGTCATCTTCTTCAAGTTGCTGCGCAATGCTGCACAATGATAGAGGGTGGGGTTTCACTTAACTAAGGCTTGTTTTTGGGGCAGGGCTTATATTACGAGCATCCTGAAAAATTATACTAGGGCTTATTGTCAGGTTAGGTCTTATTTTGGGGGATAACACGTACTTTATGGAAAATATTCGTCAATTGCCTTCAGCTCACCACAGCCCAAAGGCAAAATACGAAAGCTTCATTTGATATTTAAGCAATATCATGAAAAACAGAACAAAACTATTTTTTGAAAACAGCACAAACTTGCATCCCCTTGTGGATATCCTCTTGGATCCCCTTGGGGATTCTACTGGATCAAATTCAATTAGAAGGAAGGATTGGTTGGTATGATCTCCAAACTGTAAGGACAGATATGGGATACCAAAATAGATGGGAATCCATTTCAGTTTCTGCTCTCAAAATGCTTACATTTCTTCAGTGATCCCCTAACTGAATTTCAAACCACACAAATACAGGTGCACACATTTGTGCGTTCTGCATGTGTACATACAGAAACACACATTTCTGTCTTTGGCTGTTTTTTGCAGCTTGGACCTAACTTAAAAGCTGCAGAGTGACCTTTAAGAGCTGACTTTTACAAACATATCACAGCAATAGAAGGGAGCTGGAACAGCAGTGTGTAGAAGTCTGTAACACAGCAAGGCAGGTAGAAGAAAAGACCAAGTGGAGAATTCAGGTTGAACATGAAAAATGGAGAAGCCCTGACAGACCTCTCAAGATTTCTGTTCCGACATAAGTTTGCTCATCAACAAGTTTAGAAGTGAAGGACTGGCCAGCTGTACACCATTGTCCACCCTGGATTGAACCCTTAAACACCAAACAGAAAGTTTCTACCAAATAACAGAGGAAACTGGCTGGGTCAGACTGGGGTGCACACCCACAAACAATAAGAACAACAGCATTGTCTCTGTGCTACTCCACAGCACAATATGCTAGTGCCATATGGTGTAAATCAGCACATGCCAAGCAAGTGGATGTGGGTCTTAATGAATCATGCAGGATTATTATTGGCTGCCTGCAACCTACTGTCATTGAAAAAGTCTATTATTTGGCTGGTATTAGCCCTCCAGAAGTACAGTGAGAGGTGCTAGCAAATAATGAACAAAGTAAGGGAATACAGCTCCAAACCCATCCACTTCATGGACCTCCTAGACAAGGGTTAAAATAGAGGAAATGTTTTCATACAAATGTCAAGCTCTAAATATTAAACCAGAAGAGTCTAGGCTAAACCGATACAGAACAAAAACAACACATCTTGCCGAATGGATGAATGCTGAAGAGTATCTCCCACCAGGACAAGACCCTAGCCGGATCATCCAGAAGTCACTTAACAGACTTCAAAACAATGGCAAAGATGATGCTATTGAAATAGTCCAATTGTGGTCAAAAACAGTCTCATTATTTTAACATTTTAATATGTTTTTAATTTTACCTATATTGCACATATGTCCATAATTTTAAATTGTGCAACGCTCTGATGCTAATAAGAAAGATAGATCCTGGCAGAACCAGTGAGGATTTTTAGGAACATTTCCTTCCTTTTGTGACTGATTCCATAGAAGGAAGTCAATATTAGTCATCATGAACAGTGTCATTGAAGAGGAACTAGTTAGTTAGGCATCCTTCAGTCTCGAAAGACTATGGTAGCGTGCTCTGTATGGAGGGCTTGGAACAGCGCCTAGTGTGGCTGAGAAGGCCAATTCGAGAGTGACAGTCCCTTCCACACTGAAGACAAATCCAGTCTGTCCCCTGTCCGGCTCCCTGGTTTTGCTGCTTTTGTGACTTCCTCTTTGCCTCGGCCTGCTGGGCAAGGGTCTCTTCAAATTGGGAGAGGCCGTGATGCACCGCCTGCCTCCAGGCTGAACGCTCAGATGTCAGGTTTTCCCATCTGTTGAGGTCTATTCCTAAGGCCTTCAGATCTCGCTTGCAGATGTCCTTGTATCGCAGTTGTGGTCTCCCTCTGGGGCGCTTTCCCTGCACTAATTCTCCATAGAGGAGATCCTTTGGAATCCGACCATCAGCCATTCTCACGACGTGCCCGAGCCAACGTAGACGTCGCTGTTTCAGTAATGTGTTCATGCTGAAAATTCCAGCTCGTTCTAGGACTGCTCTGTTTGGAACTTTGTCCTGCCAGGTGATGCCAAAAATCCGTCGGAGGCAACGCATATGGAAGGTGTTCAGCTTCCTCTCCTGCCATGCACAAAGAGTCCATGACTCACTGCAGTACAGGAGTGTGCTTAGAACACAGGCTCTATAAACCTGGATCTTCGTATGTGTCGTCAGCTTCTTATTGAGCCATACTCTCTTTGTGAGTCTAGAGAACATGGTGGCTGCTTTGCCAATGCGTTTATCCAGCTCGACATCTAGAGAGAGGGTGTCAGAGATGGTTGAGCCGAGGTACACAAAGTCATGAACAACCTCCAATTCTTGTGTGGAGATGGTAATAGAGGGAGGTGAGTCCACGCCCTGGCCCATGACTTGTGTTTTCTTCAGGCTGATTGTTAGTCCAAAGTCTTGGCAGGCCTTGCTGAAACGATTCATGAGTTGTTGGAGGTCTTCAGCAGAGTGGGCAACAATGGCTGCATCATCTGCGAAGAGGAAGTCCCGCATGCATTTCAGTTGGACTTTGGTCTTCGCTCTCAATCTAGAGAGATTAAAGAGCTTTCCGTCTGATCTAGTCCGGAGATAGACGCCCTCGGTTGCGGATCCAAAGGCATGCTTCAGCATGACAGCAAAAAAGATCCCAAAAAGTGTTGGTGCAAGGACACAGCCCTGTTTCACTCCGCTTTGGATGTCAAAGGGGTCTGATGTTGAGCCGTCAAAAACTACAGTGCCTTTCATTCCATCGTGGAAGGACCTGATGAT